ATAATTCCTATATATTAATTTTCCAGGCTGTAAAAAGTTAAATTTTACGGAACTGAGATATTCTAAAAACAAGGTGCTCAATTACCGGTATGCAGCAGATGGTACCAGAGATTATGCACTTTTCGCGTGTTCACAGTACCATCGTCACGTTTCAGTGGCCGCGGAAACAATAGTGCGGCACCGGATCGAGCCGATGAAGCATTGTCCGAATCAGGAGTGCTATTGACAAACAGGTCCGCTATTAAACCATGCGCTCGTTTCAATTCACCCTAAATCAGTGACACAGACACAACTTATTGCTCGAGGAAAGCGAAAACTCGCTACCAAACTAAATTTTTAACAGCATTTTCTAGCTTTGAGCTTATGATTTATTTTAAAAATTGCTACTAATCACGACGTTTGTGGGAAGTAAACTCCCAAAAAAAGGCAAGGAACACCATCTTCCGCATCATGGCTACAAGAAAACTGTAAAACCGGAAAGATCTTAGTTTCATAAAAATCGGAACTTACAGTTTTGCCCAGCCCTTTCAAAATTCTGGCTATAAAGTTCAGTGAAAAAAATCACCGTGTTAGCGAAATAGCGACGCCGAGTAATATTTGCAACAAATAAGTGGCTCCATTTGTAAACTAGACGGTTCTCGTAAACGAACTCAACAATAAGGCACCCTGCAACAAGATGTTTCGCTAATATCGGGTGCACTGCTTAGCCACACGTGCGTCAGTTTACATCCGCCATCATAGTTGTGTCACAGTACAGTTGCGCAGCAAACGTTGTACGCCAGCTTCACGTGCCACTTGCACCTGCTGCACCACCGAAAAGACGATGCAACACCGCCTGGGTCATTTTACTGGTACTTAAGTGAACATTTCCGAGATATTTTTGGTGGCTTTGCCCATCTGGCTGGGGTACATGCCATTCCGATTACTTCAATTCATCGGATACGTAACAGCAGGCGCATTACTGGCAGAAGGCACATCATTTTAAGGGAGAACATGAAGTCTTAGAATTTCGTTGAGCGCTAAATGGGTAATGCGTTTCGATAAGCACCGTTCTCTTTTCGGGCATATGTTAGACAGTATTTGAAACATAGCTGCTCAGACAGTCTGGAAAAGTACGGCTCGCAATAGGAGATGATAGAATTTCTTAGGCAGACAACAGATGATGTGGTTTCCTGCGTTCAGGTAGAAAAATCATTTCACTCTTCCAAGACATTCAAGATCTTTTTTAACCAAAAGCGTTTGTCAGAATAACCATCAAGTTAATTTTTTTAACACATAACTCATTATCTAGTAGCTTGCACTAGATTTTTGTGTTCTCTTACGCAGTAAGCTCGTAAAAATTAATAATCAAGCCACGGGCTTAAAAGCCCCCATTTCGTGCTCACATGCACACTCACAAACAATCGCGCAACATGCGCGCATGCAAACCAATATTCACTTTTTTTTCGGCGATGCTACCGGTCACTTGTAATTTTAGAGCCAGCATAATGAAATAGAAGTCATAATTTGAATATGGGAGGGCTGAAGGACACGGCGACTGGAGGGATGAGAGTTATGACAGAAGTTAGTAAATGTTCGATATGTGAGCATTAAATCAAATTTCGACTTACTGAAATGAACTAAAAGCAGCAGATGTGCCTGAGAAAGAA